TTTTGCCGCTGAGCTAAATCCCCAGCCCAAATTTCACACTTTGGAGACCTTAGAAAAATAAAACTGTACAAGTTTTGATTTTTTGTGATGGGTGAATTTCACTTAACGTAAGATTCGTAAGTTTCATCTATGTTGTAGTCTATGACAAGGTTTCCTTCTTTAAAGCCTGAATTATATTCCCCTGTATGTAAATATACCACATCTTCCCTATCCATTCACCTGCCCACGGTCATTTAAGTTGTTTCCACTTCTTGGTTCTTGTAAATAATTCTCTTCAATTTTAAATTCAGTTGGCATTTGTCCATTGTTCCATCTCCAGTCTGCCCATATTGTTACTTTGCTCTGCTTTTTAAAATTTTTAGCAAAGTTGTGAAAAATGTCCATAGGAGCTTCCTTAATCATATATATATATATAGATAGAGATAAATAACTATAGCTATAGCTATAGATATAGTTATAGCTATAGATATAGATATAGTTGGATATATCTTATTTGAGTCAGATATGTACATGGCATTAAGACAGTACTGTTTCAGGTGAAATAGCAAATATTTGATAAACAATGCAGTGGTGTTTGTCTGTCATTGCAGGACGAGTCTGCTCCTCCAGCTGACAAGCAGTGTAAACCAGAGGCAGCCCAGGCTACTTACTCAGCATCAACTGTTCCAGGCTCACAGGAGGTGCTATACATCAACGGCAATGGGACCTACAGTTACCATAGTTACAGAGGGCTAGGAGGTGGACTGCTAAATCTGAATGATGCTTCCAGTAGTGGTGAGTCTTTATTACAGACTTTGTTTTCTGTGTCCATCTGGGGGCGGTAAATTTTCTAAACCTGAGAGAAGAAAATAGGTACGTTGTTATAAGTAATTGGGTTGATCTGGTACAAACAAGACCACTTAGAAGCGTAGTGTTTGTATCCCTATATGGATATCTCCCTTGTTTGTTGCTATTTCTAAAGGTAATAGCACTATTATGCAACTGAATCCTTGCTGTTTTCTACTGTTTTTTTCTACTAGAGAAATAGCAAATGTTTTTCTACATAGTGACACATTCTGCCCCCACACACTGTATTGTACTGTTCTTCAAGAATAATAGAATATGTTCTTAATGTTTAAAGGAGTATTTGATTTGGAAAATTTGGGGCAGCAGAGAAACTTCACAAACTTCACTGGGGATGAAGTGTACACAATCATGACTGAGAACAGAGAAATGGGAACAGGTACGGCTCTCTAGCCAATGGCTTTTCAATGACAGTTTCAAGCTCTTTCAGCAATGAGTGGAACCCTGGAGCCAGCACACACTTGCTCATGCTTGGTAAACCTTTAGGAATTTCTTGCTTGATAAGATGAGATTTAAATGTTTAATATAAGACCATACACGTTTCTAGGAAAAAATTGTCCAGGTGAGTTCCTTACACCTGTGTTTCAAGAAAAACTTTTCTAACTATACTTAAAATCCAGGAAAAGATAACTTTTAACACACACATGCACACTCACTTGCACACACAACTTTTGCATGACAGCAAAACACCATAAGCAGTGTAAAAAGATAAAAGACAAGGTGGGGTCAATTGTTAGCTGTTAATACTACAAAAGGCTAGTAAAGCCAATACATGAAATTCTTCAAAAACTAAAGAAAAGATGAACCTAAAGTCATATTTAAAAGTCATGTCAACCTCACTTGTTCCAAATTAGAGAAATACAGCACGCTCCCATTGGATTTCCAAGAGCAAAACAACACAGAAAGCTAGAATATTTTTTCACAAGTTCGTGAGAAAAAAGGTACTCTTGTGCAATGCTCATAGAAATGCAAAAGGTTGGAGTAAAATTTAATAATACCTAACTAAATTAAGTATGTATCAATCATTGGACCCAGAAATCTTATTTATAAATGCAAAACAAGGATACTAATTAAAGTGTCCATCAATACCCATCTGGTTCACCATTGTAGTGAATCTGAACAAGAGAGTAACACACAGCTATGAAAGTAATAAGAAGTATCTTCATACACTATTATGCATCAGTTTCCAGATAGTGATTACAGAATGCTAACATCTGTGAAGAAAGATTTTATATAAATATAAACCATAATTTAAAAAATAGAAAACAAGAAAATAAGTAGAGGTAGGCATGATTACAGTGTAAGGGATACGGATCAAAGAATTTTTAAATATATTTGGTTTTTATACATTGTTTAAATAATTTACCTTGAAATTGTATATGTTTGTGTAATTAGTAAACAGTTTTTAAGTTTTTCTTTAATGGGAAAAAAGTGATACATATACATTTTAGCTGTTTAATGAATTATTGGCACAGGAATGAGCTTTTCCAAGTAATTTCACAGGCTTCTATTTTTTCAACTAATACTGACTCCACAAATTTTCAGTCCATTGAAAAAAACTCTTAAGTTTTACTTAAGAGTTACTTACTTACTATTTCAGTAATAGTATTACTATTTTGAGATTATTTTTGCTATAAGAAAATTTGCAATTACTTTGATTATCAGTAAATTTGTGGATTTTCAGTAGGAGACAAAGTAGGTATAAATGTCAAATCAACAGGATTATGTAAAAACTCCATAATCTTGGATTTGAATTTATAGTATACATAAAAGTATTTTTTGTTTGGAAAAAATGTTTCCTATATCCACTGAAAATGGCTAGAAACAAAGACCAACTTGCAGTTGAACATTTGATTAGTGTTTATCAGCCTTTATTATATTTTGGGAGAAATCACAGTAGTATTGAGAAGTCAATTCATAGTTCAGGAAATCACTTACCTTTACAACAATGGAACTGTGCTGAGAGGGCTTTGGGATTGATTTTTCTGGAGTTAAAGGTTGGGGCTTTTCAATCTGTTCTGAACTGAAGACAGGATCCCTGAGCTTTAGTCTGTAGGGTTTGCCATTCTGCTCAAAAGTGTGGTGCCTCAGATGGAAAGGAAAGAAGAAGAAGCGTATTTTGGAAAGAAATTAAATTTCACTAAATGTACAGGAAGAGAAAGTAGGTAAAAACCTTGAAGATATAGGGGTAGGCAGAGAGTTCATGAACAAAAACCAAACTGCAAGGGAAATACTTCAAAGAATCAACAACTGGGATCTCATCTTTCTCAAAAATTTCTGCACATCGAAAGAAATCACCAATAAAGTAAAAAGAAAACACTCAAATTGGGAAAAAAATTTAGCTGACTGCCCCTCAGACAAAAGACTTCTATCTAGAACATATAAACAACTAAAAAAAATCAGGCCCCCAAAATCCAAACACCCAATCCAAATATGGGCATCTGAGATGAATGCACGCTTTTCAGATGAAGAAATACTAATGGCAAATAAATACATGGAAAAATGTTCAACATCAGTAGTTATTCGAGCAATGCAAATTAAAACACTAAGATTCCATCTCACCCCAGAAAGAATGGGTGTCTTCAAGAAATCAACCAATAACAAATGCAGGAGAGGCTGTGGGGGGAAAAGAGCCCTACTCTGCTGGTGGGAGTGTAGGTTGCTGAAACTACTGTGGAAATCAGTTTGGAGATTCCTCACGAAACTAGGATTAGAAGTCCCACTTAATCCAGCTATCCCCTTTCTGGATATTTTCCCAGAAGAATTAAAAACATCAAACCACAGCCATATATGTGCACCTATGTTTATAGCAGCACAATTTATTATAGCTAATCTTGGAAACAACCCAAATGACCATCAGCTGAGGAGTTAATAAAAAGATATGGTATTTTTATACAGTGCAGTATTACTCGAGGCTTTTGCAGCTAAATGGATGGAACTAGAGACCATACTCATAAGTGAAATTAGTCAGACTCACATGTGCAAGCATCATATTGTCTTCCTGGTGTATAAACCTGAAAGAGTAAGTAAAACTCAAAATGTATAATAGATGATATATGAGAGGGAAAGAAATTGCTCAAAGGAAGGAACAACTGGGATGAGGGAAAGGAGAAAAAAAAGAAGGAAGGCTATAGATAGATTAGATAGATGATAGATAGATAGATAGATAGATAGATAGATAGATGTATATAGAAGGATAGCTGGGATTACTGTACTGCTAATATCTGGTGGTTTATTGAAAGAAACAATACTTAAAATTTTTTATATTTTGACCAATTTTGCATGCTTATGTCCTGTAATCTGGGCAACTGATTTGAAGACAATCATATGCAATGGAACAACCATTGGTGAATTCCTGTCATCTTGTCTACGGAAACTCTGTATTATCTCTAATGTATTACTTAATTTTTTAAAAATTCTCTTTAATGGCTTGAACAATCTTCCATTCTTACCTCTGGTAATCTGAGCAATGTAGTTGAATATAACAATAGGTAATATAACAACCACTGTTAACTCCTATTGTTTGGAAGCTCTATATCACTTTTAGTGTCCTTCCTTTATTTTGTTATATCTCTGATGTTGTTGATATATTGCTACTGTTATTTTTTATTTTTATTTTTTACTACTCTTTTTAAAATAAAATAATTAATTAATTTCAGGTGTGTATTTGGCTTTTCAAATCTAGTGAGTCTTCTCCATTGTTTTTAAGTCTTTTTATTTGGGGACCAAATTAGCATGAAAGTTTAAGTCTGAGACCAGAGAAGAAAAATGTGACCAAAACCTATGGATTTATTTATATAAATTTAAAGTTCCTAATTTCCTATAATTATTCGCTACAATTATTGCTGAGGATATTTACTACTCAGGGTTCAGCATTTTAAAAAAATTTTTACATAAAAATTAAGAACTTAACTATTAAATCACAGAATTTGGGGGGGTGCTTTCTAGGGATTTTGACATATTTTTAGTTTCTAAAATTCTAAATTTAAGAAATTCTCTTATGAAAGTATTAATTTGTAACATGCCTGTAGCAGCACCTAGCACTGATTGAATCCCTATAGTACTTCTCAGTCCAATGAGATGTGCTCTGCAATTTGATGAAAATCTTTATAACATGAAATTTACTCCCACTTTAAAAACATGTCTACACACCAGTCCTTCTCTTTGCCATATAATTGGCATCTATTTTGTGAGGCTTGGAAGGTTTAAGTGACTTGCCTAAAGTCCCGCCTTGAGTAAAGGAGGGGCCAGCCTTTGAACATGGCTATTCTGATACCAGAGGCTACAATGTAAACCACTGATGTAGCAATTTCAATGTTTATGAAATGAAGCACTGATCTACTTTCTACCTGCATAAACTCCTCTATACTGGATAACATATAAACTAGTGGACCATACAAGATACAGCATTTCATGTCTCGCCCCTTTCATGTAGCAGAATATTTTCATTGTTCATCTATGTAGTAGTATGCACCAGTACATCATTGTTTTTACTGCCAAGTAATATCCCATTTTATGGCTATGGCGTATTTTATGATTTATTGATGATGGGCACTTGGGTTGTTCTTACTTTGGAGTTCTATGAATAATAGTGACATAAACATTTATATGCAAGTCTGTTTGTGCATACTGTCATTTGCATTCAGTAGATAGAGGTAGAATTACAGATTCATATATACAGTATATTTATGTTTAATATTTTGAGGAAAATCCAGACTGAACATGAGATATCTTTCCATATATTTCAATATTTTAAAATACCTTTCAAGTATTATATATCTTATAGTATTTAAAAGTATAAACTTTGCATTACTTTTGCTAATTTTAGTGTTTTGTATTTTTTATGCTATAGCAAATGGACTGTTTTCCTTAAGTTTATTTCTAGATTGGATAGTGCATATTTGTAGAAGTACAGTGCATTTTTTATGTTA